GCATTTACTTTGAGCATTTTATCTTTACTGCAAACCTCCTCAATATCTTACTGCCTTCTGCGCTTTTACGAATGAGTTTCTAAGTTCAGAGCTTTCCGAATCTGCGTTTAGACGTAAATCGACTTTTTCGTACGATCATCATATTTCAGTTTACGTTTACGTTTTGATTTCAATCATAACTGCAAACTGCCTTCTGCTCATTTATAAAACGTATCTCAAAGTTCAGTATCTTCAGAATCGACATTTAGACGTAAACCGATTTTATCGTACGAACGTCGCATTTCAGTTTGCGCTTGCATTCTGATTTCCATCATAAATTACAAACTGCCTTCATAGATTTACTTTAACGTCATCTCGCTTAATCTTAAGTTAAAGTAATCTTAGAATCGACTTTTACATCGAAATTGTTTTTATCGAACGAACGCAGCTTTCGATTTTAATAGTTGAAAGATTTCCGCTGCACTAATTCATCCCCCCCTCTTAGTGCTCTTGATCCTAACAATAACAACAATAATTCATTCTAAGTTATATTGTCAAGGAGATTATGATAAATAAAAATCATCTTTGGAGAAATATGAAAATTATAAAATATCTTAAAATAAAAAAAACTCTTTTTTTCTTGGAATTAACTCAAATTTCAAAAGGGCGAATATATATATATATATATATATATATATATATATATTCGCCCTTTTGAAAGAGTAGTCAAATCAAAGTAAAGGGTGGGAAAATGAGTCCCCCTTTTTTGGCATGAAATCGGGCTCTCGCTTTATGCGTTGCCATATCCCTTCTTTCCTGAGAAGCTCAGAAGCATATAATTGTCAGAGTGCTGCAAAGTGTCATGTCATGTCACTGTGAAAATATTTCCACTCTTTGAAGAAAACAACACCACATTTCTCCTCAGATATGGTCTTTGTAACTTTCCAGCTTTTCATTAACTTATTCTATTTGCTCTTTTTTATGGATTCTTAAAGCTGCTACTTAGCAACACATTGATATTTTATATTATCTTTAAAAGGAAGCTTCTGAATGCATGGAATGGGATCAATTGAAAAGCTTCATGAGTTTGTATGATTCAACAATGCAAATCATCCACTACGAAACAAGTATACTAATTTCCTGGTGACAAACATGTCATCCAAATATATATTTTCTTTCTTTTTTTATAATGATTTCAACTAAATATTAGCTCACTCATGAATGATGATGAATTGAAGTTTCATATCTCATATAAAAATTTTGACTATGGATAATAAAACCTCACTAATTTAATCGATAAAGATTTTGACTATGATATACTCTGTCTTCAATGTTTATCTTTAAAAAATGAAAAAAATATTCTCTCATGCACAGGTTATATATCTCAGAATCATATCCCAGCCTTGGTATGCAAAGTCTACACCATGTCATATCCATGATTACAAGCATAGCTTGTCTCATGATCATGTCAATGTGCATGCAGTTATAAGTCATCTCTAATAGCACCACAAGCTGACATAGCCAACATACAGGAGGCAAGCAACAGTGTATAGTCCAATAGACACCAGATAAAAGTCGAGAATGGTAGAACAACTGATGGTCAAAGTAAATGAAAGTTAGACCAAAGTTCATTTGCTTAATTCATCAGCAGAAATATAATTCCAAACCCATCTTGGGAGAGGAGATGAAAGACTATGATCTGGTCTTGCTAGCCCTGAGCTTTTGAGATCACAACTTAATAGCCTCCAAATTAGACTGTTTGTTTTTTGACAGGAGAAAGGGCTGCAAGTGCAGCAATTTCTTGAGACTGCCACATAGAGAAGCATGCTTCCAAAAGCTTTTGTTTCACATCATCAGGGTAGCTTGAGCCCACTTGAAGTAGTTTCCAGGTTGGCCTTCCACACACACTTTATGATCACCTAACCTACATTGCATGTCAACGAAAAGAAATTGGCCATGTCAATAAAGTTGAGGAACCAACTCATGATTCATAATAAAGGAAGGTAGAAAAATCAACACAATATCTCTGTCAATGAACTACCACCTACTAGTTTGACAGCGACAAAGTACATGAGAAAGTGCAGATGACCATTCGATTGTCCATAGATTTGCTACTTCGAAGTTGCAAAGCTAATTGGTTTCAGACAGAAAGCTCTGGCTTCATGGAATGGTTGCTATTTCATGACTAGGTGATTAGGGTACAAACTTGTGGAGACAACAATACTATTTGCAGGAGCTGGACTAGTATGTCCATTTGATCCGATATTGGCAGCAACTTCATGTTTTCTCTTTTAAGAGCTAATTGATCCCAGTAACATACAGTTAGGTGCAAAGGCATAATTAACACGCAATTTGTTAGACTATCTTGATGGAGAACCGATCTGTAAAACTTTCATGAGTCTTCCACTGTTTAGCCAAAGAGCAAGATTAAAAAAGAAAAACAATATCTTCAATCGGTTACTTGTTATGTGACAATGTTACAAGAAAAAGTAGCTATCAAAGATGTATCACGAACCTAATACAACAATGCATCGATCGGTGTTTACTTTAAAGTTACATAGTTGATTGCTTCTGCCTGAAAGCTAATTATATAAAGTTAAGCTCTGGCGAAAAAGACAATAGCATGAATAATAAAGAAGCATGAAACTCATGTTCCACATAGTTTTCTCTAAACCCTTGCTCTTTTACCACTAGTACCAGATTGTGGAACTCACTGTCTTCTATTTGTTAGTTCACTTTTCCTCCACCTGTATATGCCAATTTAAAATTTCTTGCTGGATATCAGAAGGAATTTTATTCCCTTCAGAACTATATAAATTATATCGACTCTTCAACCAAACCCCCTTGAGAGGATCTACATGAAATAATCAAATGTATTGATGATTCAATGAATGCAATTTTCAAGAGAATTAGCTTCACACATGCTGCGTTATCTCATAAACTACAGATAATCTGAAGCCACATGCTGAAGAGAATGAATCTAATGGCTTACCCACCGCAATTTTCTTGACCCTCCCTTTTCAAAAAAGGAAAAAAGAAACTCAAGAGAAAACTCATCCTAGTTCAGAATTCATACCATCAAACATCTGCAAACACATTATTCCAAATAAAAAAGCTATATCTAAACTTATTATGCTTATTTTGCTGAAAATGAATTATCAAAAAGAAATAAAATCAAAGGATCTATTACAACAATAATTGCGTCAAACAAATCCAAATAATATAATGTGTATTTTTTGTTCTAATGATGAAGAGAAAATTAATAACAGCTCTGATGAAGAAGAAAGCGAGAAAGATGCCAGCTTTATACCTCAGATCTTGATGATCTTGGCAGCTCTGATTAAAGGGTTGGCCTTGGCGATTTCCTCCCTCCCCGCGGCCTTGTAATCGAAGGAGCATTCATGGGCATCGGAGTAGCGGTGGCGACCGCAGAAGAGGTCGCCGCACCGGCACCGGAACCCGGTGAGACCGACCTTTTTGCGGCAAGTGGAACACCTTTTACTGAATCTTACAGGAGTATGTGACTCCTCGTCTGGCTTCGACGACTCCGACTCCTCGTCAAGCTTCGAGGAGGAAGAAGCCGTGAATGTCATCGCAGGAGCCGGGATCTCCGGCCTCTCGCGCCTCTCAGTAGTGGATTCCTCGCACGATTTCAGGAGACCGGTGGAAGATGGGGGTGGTGGTGGTGATGATGATGATGATGGGGGAGAGGGTGGCGAAGCAGAAGGGGAAGAGGAGGAGGAGGCCTTAAAGATCTCCGCTTCATCTTTATCAAGATTACAGCTTTCTCGAGCCATTGAGAAATTCTCGAAAGATATCCGATCCACCACCGAGAAATCAAACTTGTCAATAAGCGAACATCAAAGAAGTACGAATCAACGCCAGAAAATTCCACAGATCAGTGAAAAAGGAAATCAACGAAGAAAAATAGGATTGTTTGGTCGGATCGCAGAGAAGAAACCAGAGGAAACGAGACCGATGAACAGCGAGCCGAACCCGAAATCAGGACGAAAGGATAAAAAATTTCCACATGCTTCGAAGAAATCGAAGCTGGAGAACGTCTAAAATTGTAGACGCCGATCGAGCTCGATCGATCGGAGCGAGAAATCAGAGGAATGGCGAGAAGATGGGTCGAAACAGGGGCCACGGAATGGTAAAGGTTGCATCTTCGAACGCGGTGCCAAAAAAATCCTAATAAACAATTACTCCAAAATATTATATATATATATATATATATATATCTTTAAGCACAAACAATATTTATGGTAGCGTTGGGACTGACATGGCTGAATCGGAGCCACCCATCACTGAGTGGATCTTGTGATCTTGGTGTGCTCATTTGCTCCATCAGCCATCCTTTCTGACCCAACGCCCACCCGCACATGACACACCAAACCAAATCACAATTGACGTGTGAGATTGCAAGTGATTCCCATCCGTTGGATCAGGATCCAACGGTTGTGTCCTCCGTGATATTATCAACACCAGCAGTGTTCCCTCTTCTTTTATATTTTCCCCTTTCTTCTCCCTGTTTACTTTTTGTACTACATTTGGAAGGACTCTCTCTACCTTTTCCAGGAGCCAAAAGGTCATCTGCCTCTGGATTCCAAGCTGCATTATGAAGACGAGAGAAACATAATTAGTTTTGGAAGACAACAATTATGTTTCATGTCCTTTTTTTTTTTCTGAGAATCTTTATATATATAATGCCTGTTCATCCTCGTCCACCAGCGTTTCTGAGAGTCGTAGGAGATGCACGTTCATGCATTTCCTGTCCATCCTCGTCCACCAGCGACTCTGCTTTTACGTTTCTGACTCGACTGGTCTTTCCCTGCCGAAGGTACGAAGAAGAAGACGGAAGAGATGGAAGACATCATCACCTTCTCCAATATTTATTTCACTCCCACCTCCTCCAGAAAGGAAAGAATACATTTTGACCCTACTGCTAGTATTATATACGATCAAGAACACTTCTCCTCCTTGTCTGGATGGTATATGTGTTCTTGATCACTTCCTCCCTGACCCGATCCGGTCGAGGTCTTCCGACGCCGCCTTCATCCTCGGCCTCACGTCCGGGTCCGTCTCCGTGCACGCCAGCGCCACGTGGAACGCCGCCACGACCTCCTCCCTCGCGCGCACATCCTGCAGCAAAGCCGGGTCCACCAGCTCCGACGGCGGCCTCGCCTCCTCGAACCCCTTCCTAACCCACTTCACTAGCCCCGCCACCTGCTCCGCCGAAGAGGACGGCATCTCCGGCTGCTTACCGGTCAGTATCTCCAGCAGCACGACGCCGAAGGAGTACACGTCGGACTTGTGCGTCGGGTGGCCCGTAGCGCGACTCTCGGGGGCGCGGTAGGGGTTGGGGCGGTCGAGGAGGGTGGGTTGGACGGAGGACGGCACCGGTCCGAAGAGGCCGGCGGTGGAGGAGTAGGAGGGGGCCGAGGTGGGGTTGGTGGCGGCAGAGGAGGTGAGGGGGAGGAGACGGAGGAGGCCGAAGTCGGAGATGTAAGGGTTGAAGTCGGCGTCGAGGAGGATGTTGGAGGGCTTGAGATCGCCGTGGACGAGCTTGCGGGGGCTACAGTCGTGGAGGTGGGCGAGGCCGCGGGCGGCGCCCCTGGCGATGCGCAGCCGCACCGCCCACGACAAATTCGGCTGCCCCGACCGGCCTGCACTCACACACACACACAAACACAGCCACTACTCAGAGTCAGTGGAGCAGCACAAGATTGACATTATAAAATTAGCTATAAAGCATTATCTATTTCTAATTAACTCCCACAGATGCTGTATTGGATCGGAGGTGTACTGTCCGCCGCCTTACGATTTGTGCCTGGAGGTGACACAATAATTTATTGCATCCAGATTCGTGCATATGGGCAATTCAATCGCGTTCCCCTGCCTTGAGATCCGTGTGGAGGGGAAGCTATAGTGTCTAATAGCTACTTAATACAGTTTAATTATGATGGGAGGGAGAGAGAGAGAGAGATGGCGGGGAGATGCTGCTGACCGCGAAGAACGGCGGCGAGATTGCCGTTGGAGATGAAGTCGGTGATGAGCAGCTTCTCGTCAGGCGCCCAGTAGAAGGCACGAAGCCGCACCACATTGGGGTGCCGCACCCGCCCCATCGCCCTCACCTCCGCCGCGAACTCCTTGTACTTGCCGCCAACGCCCTCTCCCAGCCTTCTCACCGCCACCGCCATCCCATCCCCCACCACCACCTTGTACACGATGCCCTTCCCCCCCTTCCCCAGCACGTACGCCGACGCCCGAAGCAGCTCCTCCAGCTCCACCTTGAAACCCTTGTCCATCGCCACCAGCTCCCCCTCGACGCCTCCCCCCTGATCATCCTCCTCTTCCGAGGACGACGTGCCATCCTTCTTCTCAGCCATCGCCGCCCCGCACGGAAACAAGCACCACCGCCGGCCAAGTCCTGCGCCGCCGTGGCCCAGCTTCGCTCGGCCTTTCTGTTGATTTTTCATCTTCCAGTACGCGCACACCAGCACCAGCCCCACCAGCGCCACCCCGGCCGCGTCCGCCACCGAGATCACCGCGATCAGCCCTGCCTTCATTCCCCTTCGGCCTTCCTCCTCCTCCGCCGCTGAGGGCGCCCCTACCGGCCCCTCGCAGGTGATCGTGAGCGGGAACCCGCACAGCCCCGGGTTGTCGAGGAACGCCGTCGGGTACTGGTTAGCCAGCGACCCCGCCCCGGGAATCTCCCCAGAGAGGTTGTTGTAGCGCAGGTCAAGGATGACTGTCGACGGCAGGTTCCCTAGCTCGCTGGGGATCGCGCCGGAGAGACGGTTGCGCGAGAGGTTGAGCGTGCCGCCGAGGGAGTCGAGCTCGCCAAGGTCCGGCGGGATAGGCCCCTCGAACTCGTTGGAAGAGAGGTCAAGCTGGACGAGCTTCGACATCTCCGCCCAGACCCCGGTGGGGATTTCGCCGGAAAATCGGTTCTCCTCTAGCAGCAAGTGCTGGAGCTGGCGGCAGCCGCGCAACGCCAGCGGAAGCGGTCCTGAGAAGGCGTTCTGGGAGAGGTCGAGGATCTGGAGACGTGGCACGACGCAGGCGGCAGCGGGGAAGGGGCCGGAGAGGAAGTTGTCGTAGAGGAAGAGCGAGCGGAGGGAGTAGGCGTTGAAGAGCTGGGGCGGGATGGCGCCAGAGAGGCGGTTGCCGTGGAGGTTGAGGCGGCGGAGAAAAGGGAGCGCGCCAAGCTCGGGGGGGATGTAGCCGGTGAGGTTCTTGCCGGAGACGGAGACGCCGACGACGCGGGGGTGGATGAAGCCGGTGAAATTGACGCAGGAGACGCCCGGCCACCGGCAGGGGTCCTCGTCTTCCTCGTTCCACCCCGCGAGGAACGCCCACGGGTCGTCGGACACCGCAGCCTTGAAGGCGAGAAGGGAGACCCCGTCGGACGACAATGCCGGGCATCTCCTCGCCACATGAATTATATGAACTACCCAAAAAATGACGGTGAAGAGATACCTCCTCCTCCTCATCTAACCTCAGTGTATTCAATTCTCTGCTGCTGCTGCTACTCCGACGAAGTGGCGATAGCACAGGGTGGGGAAGAAGAGTTGCATACATATTCTTTAAGCCATCGATGGTTGTGGTACGCGTGGGAGCAAAGGGGAGTCTCAGGAAAGCAAAGGTTATGAAGGAAGAGGAGGGTGGGGCATGGTTTGGTGTTGTAATTAAGGAGACCACGAGAAGAGGAGCGGAGAGTAGTCGGGTGGAGACGGTGTGATATCTTTACCTTGGGCTCTACTTTTTTGGATGTTAAAGTGATGGTACTTTTTCCAGTTTCCTGCGATCCCGCGGGATACTTTTGTTAGTGCCTCGCTTTCCTTGCGGTGCTGTTCATGGAGTAAAGATCACGTTTCCATGTTAAAGTAATGTCATGGCCGGAGACGCTTGTCTTCTCCGTGATCTGTGTAGCTCTCATTAGCATCATGAGCCATCCATTGCCGGTGGAGCATGTAAAGTTGGCTTTCCAACTCTTGTTGAGTTGGTGTAGGCTATATTGTTTACAATACATTAGTGTTCCAACTTAGAGCAGAAAGTAGAGGAACTAACATGGGCGTACCTGTGTTGGTGCTTCTGAATCCAGGCATTCCATTCTGAATCATCTACTGCAGCAAGGTTGAACGGATGGTAACATCTGCATCCAGGAAACAACTGCATCAGAACACGGTATCCGAAGATGATCAGGCTGGTCGACCATGGCATAATGCTAAGACATGAACATCAATTTGAGGACAACAGACAAGAAAATGGCATCCAGCTTCTTTCTGACTTCTACATGAGACTGTGTTGTGCTTCAACAAAAATGGCTGATCATAAAATGAGTAAATTCATCGACAGTTTGATAGTAACGGCCGGCCATTTAATGCTGCAAGTTTCTTGTTCTCGTGCATGAATGAAAGACTAACAAAATCTTATCAGAATTCAACAACTCGTCCAGATTATATGCATGCTCAGCTGCTGCCAGGGCTCAATCAACTACCCACCCAACATAAAGTTGACAAAACAAAAGGCTGGTCATTCAAGCTGCTGGAGACACACCCCTCCATAAAGTTGACAAAGCAAAAGGCTGGGCCATTCAGGCTGCTGGTTCGTCTTGCCATTTCTTGCTAACAGGGGGGTTTGGACCACAGGATGATACTTGTAATGAAGCTCAACAACATCATCTCCAGAGAGCTTCTTCCAACCATCAGTCCCAGCATGGTAAACTGTACTAAAAGCACCAGTGTCTCAAATGGAAATGAGGCTGAAATCTAGTATAGAATGACGAGATAGAAGCAGTATCAGAATTTCAGTGAAAAAGATCATGGAATAACTAGTTAATGTCATTTTACCATATGTGAAATGTAGCACAATCAAATGATATTTGGGATTTGATAAAGATAGTTTCATCAGATAAAGTTGATCCACTTGTCTGTACCATTCAATGTAACCAAGGAAACCCTTATCAACAGATGGTGACAATGATAGGAAATAATAATGCAACAAGATTGTAAATCTCTAACAAATAAGCTTAGTTAAAAACAGAATCACCAAAAATAGATCAAGTCCATTGACAGAATTTAGAAAATACTTGTGTCTTGAAGATGTACCACTGGCCACTCCACCACTAGCGCCATCACAAAAAGTTGCACGATAAATGGTCCACTGTGCCAGTTCTGCAGCTTCCTGGATTGTCATGTCATAACGATGTCTAAATATTAAATAAACAAAATTTAACTGAGCTTAAACAACCATGAAAATAAAATGCCTACCCATTATCCAGAACACCATATGCTTATGGACTTCCTGGGCCAACTTAAAAGTGTGTTCCCTTGAGCCTTCCACCTTAACTGTCAACATAGGACAATCCAGGCCCCTAAAATCAAAGAGAACCAGGAATACAGCTTAAGTGGAAACAGGAGAAAGAAACAAACAACTAGCTTACACCTTTTCGTTCCATCCAGCAGTCATGGTCCCTACTGAAGGGCCCATTCCGCGATAAGAGTTCAGTACCCATTCCTCAATGAAGAGTAAAGAATGTTTGCTAATAGCTTTGAAGCACCTGCAACTGAGATCATCCTCATGTTTGCCAGTGCATGTACACATCACTTCACAGGATGAAAATGATGACCATTAAAAGATTTAATGGATTATAACCCAAAATTTCAATAGTCATGGACAAATAACAGCATAACTAAGGTAGAAATCACAATTGTATAAAGAGACTATCAAATGTACAATGTAGACAAATATGTGTGGACAGGTAACAGCAATATCTTGATACCTTCATTCCTGTGCCAGAATTGGCAATCTGCAACACCTCCAGCAATTGTACTGAGCATACATGGATTGATCTCGATTATTTTCATCACACTCTGAGAAGGCGCAGATGAAAGAGACAAAAAGTTAAAAAGGTTCAGTAAGAAAACTAGTCAAGTGAACAATGTTTGTTAAGCAGCTTGGTACTCATCCAATTGATCACTCATTTTAAGCATGTTGACAAGAAGTCATAGTCCCACCAAGGAATAAATGATATGTTTAAGCATGTCTTATATACATACTGTCGAGCAACAGTCAAATTAGAAGTTCCTGAAAAGAGACAAGGCAAAAGCTTATAGTGATGTCTAGGAATAATCTATCGAACTAATCTGTGCCACAGGAAGATACTGAAAGTAATGTACAAGTACATCATGACGCAAAATATTAGGTGTTGGTACTTTTTCACTTTGCATTTATGATAAAAATGTAGATTATCTCAATCATGTTATAAAAAATGTTCACCAACATTTACATGTACGTGGCAGTACCCAGAAACTCCAACTGCAGGATGGAAAGTCTGAGCCCACCCAAACTCGCAAGAGTTCTTTAGATTAGCTCTGAGACATTCTAAATATGTCATAACTCATAAAACCTAACTATGGTAAATAGTTGGTAGGTATGCTATAAAAGAGAATAGTTGTGTCTAGACCAATAAGTTATAAGAACTAATGGAAGTTATCAGGCCAAGGGCCTGTATTCATCCTGATTCTCATCCTAACTTTCTCCTCTTCTTTGGAACTTTTTATTCTATTAGTTCTCTATCATTTTCTCACAGTTAAATGAGTTTCTGGCCATAATTGTCATGAAAACAATAAAAAGATTGGCTGGTATAATACCAGGCCTATGCTAGGCTGCAGCAGGTTGCACAGATTGGAGCGTGGTGATCCACAAAGCAATTGGGGAGTGCAGGGAGGCAATAATGGAGTGGATGATGGAAGTGGAGTGGTAGGGGATGAAGGCAATGCCAATTATCAAAAATTAAGGGACTGGTCCAATTTAATATATACAAACTAGCCCATGAGCTTCACAACAAACAAAAAAGGAAAAAATGTAGAAAATAGAAAATGTAAATAAAACATTAAGAAGAGGAATAAGGATCATGTTGAGAACACGACCGGTGGGTCAGAAATCAATTTCTTCAGCATTCCATATTAAGCTTATGGTGAACTCTAATTCATACACTAGTAATGACTCTTCACATGAAAATTCATTAAACAATAATCAGCTCAATGAGGAATGCTAGAAAATCTGAAGTCCTTCAAAATTAAACATATAAAAAGCATGTATCAGAATATGCAAAATTTCCACACCAAAACTCACCCAAGACAAATTTAAATAACACGTGCAGCAAACTTTGAAAAATACTAAGCATGAGAAAGAAGTAAATTCTCCTCAGACTAAAAATCCAATAACGAGACTGAGTTGATGGATCCAAACAGTGACATAGAACTTGCCAACTTTGCGTCCATCATGAAAAGGCAAAGTATAGGCAATTGTGGGCACACATGGAAACATTCACAAACATCATCGTCCGCTCACACAGTTGTATATTTCATGCCAGTTCTTCATCAGCACAGAATATACGCAGACAACACAATACCTGTCTATAACTCAATTAGTCATCTTAATAGTATTATGTGAAATATCAATGTCAAATAAGCTAGTTTCTATGTCAACCATGCAGCAATAATCATATACTAGCTTACATAAGGACAACTCATACATTGACCTTAGTTTCCTTTTATTTCTCAAAATGAAGTTCCATCTTTCAGTCAGCTTGGTCATGGAAGAATGCATTTTTTTCACTCCTTGGGGGTTACAGTTTCTTTGTGTTTAAGGTAGAACATCTACATGCAAGTTAATGCACTCACTTCAGAAAAAGTTTACTGAAGAAAGACAGCTAAAGAAGATCAAAATCAGAGTTAACATAAATCATATTTTATGGGCTCATCTATACGAACAAAAAGTGTGATTTACAATCTCTGATATTGCAATTTTTATCTTTGTCCAAATTTTTTTTCCCGTTCATACAGACATAATTCCATGCATTTAGCAATACCATATACCACCTTTCTTCCAAGTTGACACATTGACCAGAAGTAACTAAATTCATATTCTGTAAACAGTAAGGTAGACCACCCAAATGGCCAACTGTGTTCATCTCCAGATAGCACAACCATATTTTCCCAGATGCTAGGTCGGCATAAACAACAATGACAACAAAAAAAAAAAGAAAGGAAAAGGCATGCAATTAGCATCCAATACACTAAGTGCTTACAAATATATCGTCCCATGCTAGCGCGAGAATCGGAGGCGACAATGACGCCTTCCTTTGAGAACGAAGAAGACCGTGGTCGTCCCCTTCACTGGCTTCACCATTTGGATCGCGTCCATCTGATACAGCCAATAGAAAAGATGCAATATAACAATAGAGCAATAATCTCAACAATGGGAGCGCCACCAAGAAGAAAGCTAACCAACCCATCATGGACACACATCAGAACAGGCCGGTAGCTGAAAAGAAAGGGGGTGCGAAGAGGTCCTCGCTGAGATCGTCGACGGTGCGCCCAGGCATCGAGGGAAACGATCGACGACCACTCAAATCGTGCTTCGTGATAAACGAGATACGATAAAGACAGAGAATATGCATCGGAAGCAGCGACAGGAAACCCTAGATGGGAAAGAGGAGGAGCCAAACGAGGGGGGATTGGCTGAGAGGGAAGGCAGAAAAGATCCGACCCGTACCGCAGAGTGCGTAAACGTGGTTAACGAGCCTAATCGGGTCTACGCCCATGTTAGAGTTCGCTCCTGATAACTTTTGGATTCGAATAATCCGTTAACCCGACCCATTTTGTCCATCAGAAAGGCTCTTCGGATCGGTTTGTATCCTCGGTCTACATCCGATAGCTCATCAAAGAGAGCGCAGTATACAACGTATGTGACTGTTTAATTTACAGGAATTTACAATCTGGATTCAATAATTCTATAAAATGCGAACCAGCCAATATTTATCTCAATAAATCTGTGTAATCCTCATAGAACAGAAGGCGGCATTTGACAGTGGCAACAAGTGACGAACTGACATTGCATTGGAAAGATTGCACTGTTGTACAAGTAGTGAGGGATATACAAGCAATACCTACAACTTCCCAAATGGAAGAGACCTGTACATTTCCGGGCTTTATTCCTATACCTCGCTGAAGGCAAGGGGAAAACTGCTACAGGAGGATTAATGATCAAAGTTTACATGAGTGATTTCTTCGTACCCGGTTCTAGCAGTGATTCCATGAAGAATTCCTGTTCTTCCACATTGACGTCAACGCCCGCCCAAGTCTTCGCGATCTTGATTTGCTCAGTGGCCTCACTTCAGGAGCACTGGCACCACCAATAGACATTGTTCGATACACCTGGTGCAGTTGCTCCTGCATGGGTGACAGTTCGCGTTGCCTCTGTTCTCGAAATAGTTTCAGCAGCTTCTGTGCCATCTCCCTCCCCCTCGGTGTTCCGTTGGCTGAGATAGACACGAGAGCTGGTATCACTCCTTCCTGTAGTACCATGTGGATGCACTTGTCGTCGTCGCATAGAATTAAGAGGCACGACGCAGCCTGCTCTTGGTCAGCTGGTGCCGCAGTGTCCAGGATCCCTGCAATTGCTCCAATGATACCTGCAGTGGAGACTATTTCCTTCTTTCCCTCGACGCTTGATGCCAAGTTTATTAAGATTGCCAAGGCCTTCTCAGACCATATGTTACCAGTGGAACCTGAAGGAGCTGTAAAGGAGTGAAGACAGTTTATAATGCCAGCAGCAAGGAGGGAAGCAATATTTGCAGGGTGTGTTGAGAGGTTGTATAAAGCATAGAGGGCGTCGTGCTTGCAAGATCTTCTATGATGACGGGCCTGCAGGAGCTGAATGAGGAAAGGGACAGCTTGGCTCGAGCCAATTATAGGCTTGGCCTCGTCAAGGCATGATAAGTTGAGGTAGAGGGCAGCAGCCGCCTCATATGCATCAGAATTTTGAATCATCTCCTCAAGCAGGGGTATCACTCCGGCAGACAGCAACATTTCTTTGTTCCTGATGGTACACAGAGAATGATAGAGCCATGAGGACAAATATTAAAAAGAAAAGATCTACCATTACTAGGTCAAGTACCAGTAAGAATATACTGGAGCAAGTAATTGTTGTTGGAATTCACCAAAAAATTGTCTTCCACAATTTGAATGTAGAATACACAAGGATGTTATGTTAGCCATCCCAAGGAAAACAGACCCTTATGCAATGACATTTGACCTGTGTGAGCTAGCATTTAGGAAGAAAAATAAAAAGATTGGAACAAAATACTGGCAGAACTTGAGGATGAATGGCGTGGCGTAATCACCTGTTATTGTTGACAGCAAGGTTGAAGAGTGCCATTGCACCAGAATCTTGGGCTTTTGTGTTTCCTTCATGAACAGCTGACCTCAAAAACTGGACAAGTGCCTCCATAAACCCATTTGCGCCCATATAGATCCTAGCTGCCTCATCATCCTTCAGAAGGAATCTTATCTGCTCGACAACTATGCACCGTTTCTCCACTGTTCCACCTTCATTGAACACTGCCAGCAAGTTCTCATATCTTTCAAATTCATCCACTTCATCATCTCCACACGAGCCATTGTCCACAGTTGCACTCTGATCCACCTTCAGTTTCTCCACTACACCACTCTCCCCCATAGGAACTGGTTGCACATTCTTCATTTGGCAAGAACCACTGCTTCCCATAGATCTCGAGTATGTGGCATCATGCTCTGATAATGCTAACCTCCAATAGTTCAAATCAAGAGATTCAGGTGGACCTTCAGGTACTGAGACGCCATTCTGTTCACACCAACTTGCAATTAAGCCTTTAACACAATAATTCGGTGTAAGACTGAGATGAGGCAGTTGTTGCTGGGTCTTTGGGCAAGTATTATGTCCATCTTTGAACCATTTCTCGATGCATACCCGTTCATATGTCTGCCCAGATGATATAATGACTGGGTCATACATGAGTTGCAAGGAGATTGGACATCTTAGCTCCTCAGGAGGTATTGGCATGTTACTTGATTTCACACCATTTTTCTTGAAATCAAAAGAACTGACTTTTGATATCTGCCTCTCAAACACTTGGCCATTCTTGCCAACATCCTCAATAGAACCAAGGACAGTAGGTGAACATGGAGCAGAACCTTGGGAGTCAGTGTCCTGGGCTGCCTCATTTCTAAAAAGTTTTGAATATTTTCTCATGAGATGCAATAAGTATGCAACAATCGATTCCTTCCTCTTGTCTTCCTCGGCACGTGCCCTTTCTATCAGCCTCTTTAGAGCTCTTCTCTCTGTCAGAGCTGCCCTAGATGACATAATGCCCAGCTTTAAGGCAGCTTGGTGGAAAACTTCAAGTTCTTCACCATCATTGGAATTACTGCTAAATCTTTTCTCCTTTTGCAGCAGTGAGATCACTTCATCACCAACTTGCTTCTCTGATTGATCCAAGGTGAAGACAGTCACCTCCAACTCTCGGATGATCTCTATAATCTGAATCACATAAGTAACCAGAAGAAGAAACAAAAAATTAATCTTCCATGAGATAACAAGATATAACTGATAAATAAACATTAAACAACATAACCTGCAGAATGATTGGACATTTGAAAGTAAAAAATACTATAGCACAGCCACACAAGCACATAATAAAATATAGCTGACAAATGACATACCCACACCCCAGCATCATTTAATGACACCTTTGAACCTTATAGATGATGATAAAAAACATTCTTACTAAACCTAAAAATGACAAAGAAATTCATAAGTAACAAAAAAACATTAGAAAGACTAGAAGAATATCCAAGGTAAGAGATGTACAGATAAATGTAAGATAACTAAAAGTTCCATCAGGCTTCGTGATTTGTGCCTGTGCACAATCTTAAGATCATACAAATGAGAGGATACCCTTAAATGGATGCAGGTCACTTCCTCATTTCATTAGTGGGAAGCTTGTTAAGATGAAAAACTGACCCAAACTGAATAACTGAAAAAAGAGCAAAAAATGGAATGTTACACAGCTTTCACTTAGCAAAATAAACCATCCTAGTAAAAAGGACTACTGCTAAAAGTGGAGTTTACAAGAGAAGGTGTGCTGCCATAAAAGTGGAGTAGGGAATTTGAGAACTGTCCAACCTTGCAGGGACTTGTCGGACATACATACAAGTAATTGACATTACTAGTGTATGTGCTTTCCATAAGCAAGGATTTTCCATCAGATTACACATGTGGTTTCTAGAATGAATAAGACCACAAAGTAATGCATGCCAATCAAAGGCAAAGAACATTGGATCACTGGTGGTTTTCTGGAAGGGACAACCAAGATTTGTTCAGGGAACATAGATGAAAGGTAACTAATGAAAGGTACCAGAGGGAACCTTTGACATACAAACTAGAAAAAGAACGAAGAAAAGTAGTATATACAATATGTAGAAGATTGTTTATAAGAGGTGAATGGTAACCAGCAGCAAGGATCAGAATATTAGAGTGCTTTACGAGTACAAAGAACACAGGTCATTGACATACCCGACAACCAATAGCTTGTGGAACTATGTCCTCAACTCGCCGAAGACTCTGTTCAAGAGCACCTCTGGCTTTCTCAAATTTTACAAGAATTGAGTCCGCGGTTATAGCCTGTAAATTAAAGGACAGATGCACATAAAGATACAGTTATTTGTGAAGCATGAAGTTTCAATTGCCATATTGTCTCATTTAAATGAGAAATATCAGAGTGCATAAAACATATTGCAATTAAATTTTACCAATAGAACACTGTAACCAATAAGGACTTCTATAATGTTTGCTCATTCTAATCATTTTTTTAAGAAGAAGAAACTTTCGTTAACTGTCTGTCTGTAGATCAATTAGAAGGTCCCCCAAAACGTGTTTATTAAAGTCCATTCCCCAGCTACAGAGTTCTACATAGGCATCCAAACTTGGCCAAATAGTGTTCCATCCTGTTACATTTCTGAGTATGAAACGAAGTCTAATTGCATTAACTGTCACTGTCATTTTTTTGATGCCAGCAACTAAGGATTTTAGGGGCCATGGTACACCACATGTTCATTGATGTAATTTGTGACACTGAGTGCATCCACTCTGACCAGCACCCTATGGAATCCTGCTTGCTTGGATCTTTCCATTCCCTTATAGATGTCCAGTATTCCACATGTTCCTCATTCGAAGGACATGGAGCAATAGCTTACCATGAATGACATTGCATGCCAGAATAGAGCAGAATTACAAACTGAGGCGATGTTGTACTAAATCTTAATAATCAGCATATTTGTGGTCTGTGGAGCTGATTTAAACTAGTGGAACAGACCCAAGCTATAATGCAAGTTGTAAACCAGCATTACCACCCAACTAAAGTTATGTAGATGCTCAAGCAATCACTAGGCGGAAAGAACCTTGTATGCCTAGGTGGGCAAGCCAACTATACAAAGAACAAGGAACCCTCCACAATCCTTATTACTTATGGCTATAGTTATTAAATCAAGCATATAATCAATATAATATATGGCATTCTAAAAAATTTCAGGCTTAGTAAAAAGAACACCCACCTCTGGTTAGGCCTGACATTACTATGTTAACCTTTTGCATGTAGCAAAATCTATATTGCATACAAAATCCTAAAAATCACCAGACTATTGTAAAGTATGCACATAAAGGACAAGTGGTATGTCAATACAAAAAAAGAGACCACATTCCTGCAACATAAGCCACATAGTTACCATGCAAGTGTCACATGGTCACAACTCAGATGCCATTTTAGTGTGACCTATGTGCCAACATAATGTCACAATATAGCACCAACCTGGTGTTGACATGTTAACACCACATAAGTGCAAAATCAAGACCATGCAAGGGTTTATAATATAGCACAAACATCCAATACACCACACGTGAAAGGATTTTTGATTTCTTGGAAACAAAGTGACCTTTAACTTTTGGATGGTTGAGATATTTAGTTACTTTGAACCAGTCAAACATCTACCAATGTCAATAGTTTAACATGATATAAGGAGGATGAGTTCCATTTTAATTTATTGCCAAATGATTGTTATGATTTGTTTTTTGGAATACATTCCTTTCATCATCAACAACTTAAATTAACATTTTGCTGAATCTATTATTACCTTGGTTCATAGAATTGGTTGCCAAAACACATGCAAGTTGAAAAGTAAATGTTAGTAAAGAAGCTGGTAATCTTATCAACTACAAATCTATGTGCATATTTGAAGAATTAGAAAAGGTGTCAGCCAAAGGAACATGCAAAGGAGAGATAGAGGGCAGTAGATAGATATATTCATAAGTCCAGACTAGTTTAATCTTTGTTGAATTTTGGCAACTTTATTACTTTGTTATTCGCCATGTAGCTGGTTGCCACAAGCATAAGTAATGTGTCTGATAATGCATAGCCACATTACCAATGTACATTTTAGCATGGTATGCAGTACCGAATGATATCGCCCGGTACGGGAGGTATGTATCAGTCTGACGGCATACCGATACGTGGACCGTCCGGTACCGCTACAGTGCTACAGTGCTACAGTGCTACAGTACTACAGTGCTGCGTAATGAATAAAAATATATAAAATTGTTTGGTACATCAGGGTGTACCGCTTGGTACGCCGGTACCATACCGTACCGAGTCAATCTCGAAACACCGGTACAGTACGGTATTACATACCTTACATTTTAGATTGTTTAAAGACTAGTTTAAACTTATTTGAATTATGGCAATATTGTTACTTTTTTGGTTGCCATGTAGCATGTAGCTGGCTGTTACAAGCCCAAGTAATGTGTCCGATACTAGCTAGTGACATTACTAACATATATTTATAGGTTGTTCAACAAGAGATGGTAACAATTGCCTACAAGACATGCTGCTATTGGCATCCCTAACATGCATTTTTATGTCGATTCAGACTTTCAGTGGTTGCAGAATCACCTGAAGTTCATGCAATTGGACTTGTGACCTGGATTTGGGGTCATCACCACTCAATGAACTAGCTACCAAAGAAGTGAAAGAGGTACTGAATCCTTTTTAAAAATATATAACATAATGGTCATTATAAGTTGGACTAATCAATCAATGCTGGTGCAGATGAGCTTGTTAAGTCCTCAGCTGCCTAGACCCCTACGAACCACCTTTCAGTGGTGGCTATTCATTTGTCTTTTCTTTGGACCTAAAAATGCTTTCGGTAAACTGAAATATGTTTAAACCAAAGTAAGTAGGCTGGCTAGAGATCTGGACTTAACATACTAGTTATCATATTAAATGCGACCATAATCACAATATTGCTAGTGTAACTTACAGTATAATAGCTATAAAGTTATTCAACTAAGAATAGTGTATGAAGATTCAGAGCATAAGATATTTAAAAAAGATTATAACGACAATTATAATTTGTAGTAGTGTGCTAACAGAATTTTGCAAGCATTTTCTTACCTATGCTTTATTTTATCACAATTCTATTCTTACGTTAAAATAAATCATGTTCCATTACCATCTCTTTCCATAGTGGAAATAAATTAGTTTTCAAAATAAACATATCAAAATAGCCAACATGAAGATTATGAACAAAAGCTCACCAAGTAAAGTTTGCTACATTCTGAGCAATGTTGAAGAAGACCCTTGGCCTTGTCTATAGCCACATGCAATGAACATAATGCCTGTATTCCAGACTTGCTTCTAGGCCTTGCTGCTTCCAGCACAGGAAATATTCCCAAGACTTTATAAACAATTTTTGAAAGTTGTTTACACATTGCTCCATGCAACTGTAGACCATGCAAAACTGTTATACCAACACTTTCCAAACAAGCACTCCAATAAATTTTACACTAACTAGGATGCAGGAGATTATTCTCAGATGTTACTTCCTCATCTACCAAACCTAACAAGGAATGGTCTCATAGATTTGCCTCCATGATTTATAGAAAAATAACTGAAAATTTTAAAAATAAAGAACATATTTTTCAGTATACAGGATTAATTGTCAGTATATAGCTTGTATTGCTTGCATAAGAATAACAACAAACAAAAATGGAATGAAAAAGTTTGCATGGTGAGACAACAAAATAAAAAAAAATTACAAGCCTACAGTGACAATAATTGTTGACATTGCAATTATAATCTCCATTCATTAGGCATTGCAGGAGTTAACCTTCCATGACGGTTCTAACTAAAGAGCAGATTAGTCTTAACCTTTGCATCGCTGACGGCAAACAGGTTCTCCTCAGCCTCAATCGAATCCATGATCATCCTCAAAGAAACTTACGCTCTGCTGAAAGCATCGAGAAGAAAATATAAGATCTTGTCGAACCAGTCTCAGAAAAGGAACGGAAGGGGCAATCGACTCCATCGAGGAATCTTCGGGCCAAAAGCATTGCAAGAGACAATATGAAATTGAAATGGAAGACCAGGAAATATGAAGTTCACAACAGCCAATCAACGGTAAGAGAATCTCACATTTGAATTTTGGAGATAACAAAAGAAGAAGTCCGCGCCAATGCCTCTCCGAGTGCGACACACGCCAGCATCCCAATTAGGTCAGCGGATGTCATCCTTACAAGAATCTCATTAAAAGAAGACCTGGTTAGAAAAAGAAAGCACCTTGAGAATTGAGATTTCATCCATCGGATGCGACACCGAACCGACCACCAGAAAAAGGAAAGAGAATGACGATCGAAACCATATCCACAGCTCGGACGCCGTTAAACACACAAAGGATGAGCCAAAAAACAATGAATGCTTCGAACCACGAATTCGATCCTAAACCTACCCCAAAAGCAATTCGGAAATCAGCCCGTGAACGTTAATTCATGTGCCGAAGGCAAGGAAAAAGGATCGAGACCGAGAGCTCCTGGGGCGACCCCAAATTGGCGTTCCGGAATCCGCGGAGCAAAGCAGTTTCCACCATCTCTCGGGAGAATGGAGGCGATTAGGATCGGGACGTACGGAGACGGATCGCCTTATTTATACGACACTTAAAAGAAATATATTTAAGCGCATTTCTTGTTGCTAAAAAAGAAATTATTCCTTGCGTTTATATAAAATAATAATTCCACAGTCTGCCGTGTCTTCCACCCGCTAACTTACCTGATTTATCATTAGATGTAAACGCCGGATCCATGCGGGACCCAATGTAGAAGACCTACGGGTATTTGACTCACGGTCAGGAAGAGTATTTCTTTCGAAAAGATCGGTCGGCGACGAGCACGGCGTCAGCAAATCCCACCCACGACGGATCTCAGCCGTCGGTTGGGTGAAAAGGACGAGATCACGGACGTCGATTGGAAAGGGCCCCTCGTTATTCCTGTGGCTCGGAGTTAAGGGACCCGTCACGGGCGTCCGGGATCGCGACTTTAAGGATCGGACGGCGGAGATCGCATCATCGAGCCACGTGTGCGGCGTCGATGGGAGAAAGGGTCGTCTTCTCCCGATCCATCGGGCAAGCGTCGCCGACTCGAACCGACGGTGGTCGGCGCCGGCCGACATTAAATATCTTAATCGGACGGATTTGATCTCTAAGGGACCGCGGAATACCGACACTACCCCTGCAAGAGTTACTTGGACTTTGCCATATTTAGATTAGGTCAACCAAAGCTTGACCCAATAAGAGGACCTAAATATAGTAAAAGGCTAATATGAGTTAGTGGTGTACAAAATATCTTAACTCTTTTTGTGGGATATAAAAATAGACCCAAATAATACTATTTCTAAAAATATCTCAACTCTGTGTTTAATCTAAATTTTAGGAGTAGATTTCTGTGATTTGTCAGTAATTGCTTATTAGAGATTAACTTTGATCTGATCATTTTACTATATAATACAAAATGCAAATTACAAAGAAAATGTTGGTGTCACAAAATAAATAATTATAATGCAAGAGAGACATAATACTGCTCAACCTCTTTATTCCTACATTTCATGATTCCCACATAACAATGGAAATTGAGGAAAAACTTTTAAGCATTAAATCTGAGGGATTCAATAGCTTAGAAATATTATTATTTTTTATAATATCAATTAGGGTGTTGTATCCAAAATTTATATTATTATTTTTACCTAAATATAAAAATCTGCTTCTACATAACAGCAAATAAGGATACATTTGAATCTGTCCAATTCTGAGAGCAACATAGCAGTTCTATGCCAAATCTAAACAAAGCATGCATTTCTCTGCAACTCAAGTTGACACAAAGCACAATATACACAAGAGAAGATTATTCGCTTGAATTTTACATACAAGAAGCAAAAAAAGAAAAAGAAAAAATGATGTAAGAAGAAAAAGAAGAGACTAATCATCGTCTCTCCAAACCTCTCGGAGCAACTGGTACCTGATAAAGCTGGAACTGGCATGTTTGGTCTCGATCTTCGGAGAAGAGAAATTGTCAGTGATGATGGTGGCAAGGGGTGAATCGAGTTCTTCAAGTTCGTCGTCGCTCGTGTGGCATTTCCGTAGCACAGATGATCCAATCCTCCTCAGAAAAGATGTTCTTCGTACTTCTCCAACGATGTTCTTTATTGAAGTAGCTGATGGTGGAGAGTAAATGATTGGAGATGCATCGCATGGGATATTTCTTATTTCTTCTTGGCTGCTCTCAAAAGGTTCCTAATGATATTTGCAAATCAGAACAAAAATTCTCAGAGCCAGTCATAAGATATCAAGAACATATAAAATAAGCCTGCATTACATATAGTCCCAAAGAGATGCAGTGAGTACATAGACTAACTAAATTTTCTTCTTTGAATCCAGCAATGTTTAATTCAATATTTATTAACTAATAGCTTTAAATAGTATTGACGTGGTGATTTTAACAGAACGCCATGCAAGAAAAAGCTAATTGTTCTTTATCAGAATGAAAGGATTTCCAGAAATCATAAAGCATAAAATAAGTATGCATTTTAAACTATCTGATGAGCAACTCACGAGCCAGACGGGATTTTGCAAATCAAGGGTCAAGTATGAGCAACAATGTATGGAAACTTATTATGCTCATCATTCATTGATGTTTATCCCTAGTTAATAAAGGTCTAAATCACAACAATGATGATCATCAACTAACTTGCAGTAATGATAATAAACTTTGGTGTCATAGTAAGGTTTCTCCCTTTGCGATTTAAGTGACCAAAGTGATTTATCCCTCTGTTTACATGATAAAACTGCATGCATTGACCCTCGACAAACTCTGCATTGCCTTGTGCATTGGGCTTTTTTTTTAACTGGCTGCAATGTTTATTTAGATTGGCATGATTGGAGTATGGCAAAGTTCTTTAGTACTAACCTCAGATTCTAGAGCTTGTAGGACAGCATCTGGAATTGGATCTGGACAAAATTCATCTGGTAGGAATCTGCTAAGTATATGCTTGATCATTGATGCACTAAATGTCGGACATACCTTCACAAAGCAACAACAAACACAAAATAGGACACATTATTCAATTAAAGTATATAATATATGGTAAAGTCAAATTTTCTAGAAATATAGATGACGGTCCTAATTTGTATACAAACCTCTTTTCTGATAGACTTTTCCAAAAGCAAATCCTTTGGAAGCATGAGAAGATCACTTAGTGCATTCAGGAGATGGAAGGATTTAAAGGACACTGAGATAGGAATCTTGTCATCATCTTGATCATTCTCTTCGGTATCAAAGTCATCCACATCCATGCCAAACAGGTCAGTCAGCCATCTAGACCAGTTACCAATCTATTCACAGAAAGAAAAGAACCAAGATCAAGCTCAAACTAGATTTTCAGAGAAGTGATATAGAAGATACTGAGCCTAAGTTCTAGAATATCACCAATCACAAATGAGAAAATACAAAAAGAAAAAAGCGAAAAAAAATCTTTGACAGGATTGAATATAAAGTTTAATTGCCTTATAATTGTTTGCACAATACTTTGAAAATAAGTCAATTCTCTATATGAGCAGAATACGCAGATATATAATAAAGCCGTGATGTTACTTACGCCATTTTTCAGCTGAGCTCCAGCACCAAAGCTTAATTCACTAGTAGGAATAGGAAGAACCTTGGAGTCACCAATTGGGTCTGACACTGGGTCTGTTGGAATTTCATCATCTGATTCACGCAAGATAGCATTAAACATAGCCACATCAAGTCGTGCTACACATTGTTCCATCACCTGGTAAGGACCATAACAACACTTAAATAGCTAGATAATGATGATTCAATTGTAAAAGTTCCTTTGATTATTAAAGTGACTAATTTGTTTATTTTAAGCAATTTCATGTCCGAGGACTAGAACACAAGAAAATTAAAAAAAAATTGGAGAAAACACTAGTCAGATGAATCCACTATCTTGTTAGGGCAATTACTCCTGTATCAACACAACCTCCAATTGGTACTTCTGTGGAGACTGTATATAATAACCTTATTGCTCCATTCATATTGCACATAATGACCAGAATATGGATTAAACACACATAAGCACCACTAAACATATTGTACTTCAGAAAGATCAGAATAACCAACACTTCATGCCACTGTATCACCATGTTTTCCCCACATCAGTACATATGAAATAGAGACCAACAATATGCACCTGCCGTTAAAGTAAAGTGAATCAACACCAAATTCGCCAGATTATATTGAATTTAAGACAAAATCACAAAAAGAAAATTATTTCCAGATGGACTCTGTACTGTTTAAAATATCTACTTAAATAGTCTAAAATCTTTTCAATAAAATCTCATTCGCTATTTTAGCTTTGCAAGATAAGATTTTTCTCCCATGGCTCTGTTCTCTGTTAACAAAAAAGAAAAATAAAAAAATGTTCATGGAAAGGAAAGATGATTGTGGCATATCCCCTGACAAGGGGTTGGAACAACCTTGGGCTTTATTGTTAAAACAAAAGGTTCAAGCTTCCTGCTTTGTTTGGAACTTACGCAATTTCTTGTTGCCACCCCAGGATGTTGTTGTCCGCACACGAAGCTTAAGAATTTGATCCAAAGAGATATTATAAATGATCATGCATGTAGTAGTATATCTAAGCTATTGTAGAGCGCATTGGCACTCTTATCATACCCTGAATTGTGGTTGAAATTTATAGTCAGGATAAGCTACTAAATGCTCAGATAGACAAGATCAAATTTTTGTTAAGATGGGATATACCTTCTAAACTTGTTTGGTCATTGTATAATAGCTAGCCACCAACAATGAATTTGGTTTTAGTGAGCTATGCCAAAGAAATGTCTCAATACAACCACTTAGATAAGCGTAGCCAGTAACTATAATATTTGTTGTACTTACCAATCTAGCTAACATATGTAAGCACCCACACTCATGTCCTTCACTCCTAAGGGGGCAAAGCCTCTCAGAGGCATCCCTAAAAGCCCTGTTCCAAATTTCTACAGACAAGTTTCCTTGTTGATCACCCATGCTTGGTGTCCTTCCATAGCTTTTTTGTGAGTATGAACCCAACTGTTGATCACTGCCTTCATAGCCAGACTGCATGCATGGAGTTAACGTCTGAAACAAAAGGAAATATATGTCAGAGGCCCAAAAAGAGATTCTAAGTCCAGGAATTTACAACATATATATCTTATAAGGCTCGTGTGTTCATAGCCAATAAGTGTGTACCTGCCACCAGACGGACTCAACAGTTCGAGAGAATATCCAATTTTCAATCCTTTCCAGTGCAGATATCAGTGTATCTGGATCATCCCAATCGCCAAACTCTTCAGAGAAATAAAACTTCTCATTCTTGTGAGAAATAGATTCCCATTTCAATGGAGAAGATTTGCTCTTTGGTAACTTTACAGAACCATTGTTTGTGGAGCGAATACTAGCAGATTTTGGAATATCTGGATACTTACTGGTTTCAGTCACAATGGCTCTCAACACAATTGTGTTTGATAACCAAAAAGTCAACCTGTTTTGACCAGAAATAAAAAAAAAATATTAATATATGATGTAGTCAAGTAATTAACATGTAAGGCATAATTTGGTAAATCCAAGAATCAGCATGTCTAATAACAATAGAATAATTGAACAATCAAAAGAAAGCCAGAAATTAAGTGTCTCTATGGTAGTATTTTTCCAGAATTTAGATATTAAATTATTTATTTTATACTTTGCAGTTTGATCTTCTAGTGATAATTGCTTCTGTTAAACAAAAAGGAATATTCTACATGCCTTGCTACATCATTTCCACAGGCTTTTGCAACCAAAGCTAGTCCTGATGCAATACTTCTAGCTGCACTTGCCCTCCTTTTGGTTGACCATTGTCTTGAAGCATGATTATACAACCTAGAAAGCCGTCGAGCAGGAGTATGGACCTTATGTGCTGAACTCCCATGCTCTGCTACTATGGAGTAAAGGCCTATCTCTATGGCAGCTGCTTCTCTCAGCTCGGCTTCAAGTAACTTGACTCTGAACTCCAATTCATGGACTTTGTTATTGGAAAAGCCCCTTCCATTAACTCTAGAAACATGTTTCACTTTACTTGAACCTGAGCTAGTGCTTTCATTGTCATCCCTTCCATCATCTGTGCTAGAGTTTGTGCCATTATTACATGCATCTTCTTGGATGTCAATTTCCTTAACATCTTCTTTATACTGGTCACTGGCACCATAAGCAACACTTCCCATCAATCGTGGAGGTGACCGCACTGAAAGTTTCATAGTCTTCAGTCTTTCACTGGCATAAGTGTTGCTATGTTTCTCACCAAAAGATCTCCGGCTAGATATAGCCAAGTCAGTGGATATGGCGCCAGTATTTTGCAAAATACTATGCTGCTGAATGACTGAAATATGTTCAGCACTTTCAGCTGTAGCAATAGAAGTATTCTCAAGGGCACTAGTTATATTTTCATTTTCAGTAAGATGACTTTCAACTGCATTTGCTTCCACTGACGGTTCAGTTTCGGTCTCTGCAGACATGTAACGTGCACCATGATCAGCTTCCTCTGATTCATTTCTACTCTCTTCTGATTTTCCTTCCTGATCAAAATTTTGCTTGGCTTCGGAGATGCCTGACTTGTTCATCTGAAAAGCAAAATCTGAAGGCTCAACAATGTCTGTGATTACACTATTATCTTCATTCTGTACAAGGACTTCTACAATGTTTTCTGTGCTCTTGCAATCTATCGACTTTTCTTGGATTTCTTGCATCAAAAGGTTCTCATCTGCAGCCTCTTTTACAGTGTGAAATCCAGTTGCTCCCTCTGGACTTATAATATGAGTGAAAGATGAAGACACCATGCTCAGGGCTTCTGACTTCTCCATGGTGAGCATTGAACTTTCTTGAGAAGACTTGGATTCAGATCCATCACAATCTTCTAAGATTTTGTTATTATTAGATGAGCCTACCAACAAAGAATCAGGCAAAGTCACATTTTGATCGATGACAACATTCATTGCACAGGAAACTTCTGTCACTTGTGACTCGACTTTTGCAGGCTCAGGTGCCAAAAGTAAGTTGGAATCATCATCATCTACCTTTGCAGGCTCAGATGTCAAAAGTAATTTGGAATCATTGTCATGCACCTCTTCATCCTCCTTCACTTTCTGGTGCACATTCTGTAAAACCAACACATAGGTACATAATTTGAAATATTTAACTGAAATTTCAAGGCTGAAATACAAACATCAATATTCAAACCATATCAAAAATTATGTTTTGTCAAATATGTAAATTGCAATGACATGCATGAAATACATTGAGTAAAAAACTGATGGGGGCACAAATTGTATTTTCCAGAGCAATCAGGAACCAGTGACTAATTTGCCAAAGCCATCTCCTAATGTACATGTTCATAGGACATTTATTAAGTACCTCGTAGTCTTCTACATCAGGACCATTGTGAACTGAGAAATCTGCATTTGCCTCCAGAGCAGATGATGAGTTAGCAAGGGATGAAGGTGAAGACACATCATCATCAGTGAAGGATGCAATTTCAGCTTCCTCGGCATACTCCTCATTCATCAAGTCCGATACTGACTCCTTTCCATCTAATGATGCCTCTTTTGAGAGAGTCTCTCTGGATGAGGAACTGATGCTGCCATTATTGAGGGGTTGGATCCTAACATAGAGCACCGGCTGTGCTGTGTTCCTGAAGCTCCTCTTGCTGCTCACCAGAATGCCAGCATTCATAGTATCTTTAATGACACCATGATCTGCCAAGTCTATCAGAGCACTTCCCAAATGCTGCCCCTTTGATTTATCCCTCCTGGGTTCATACAAGTTGAATTCAAGCAAGTTCTTCTGAAATGCACCCTTGTCATTGACTTTACTTGAGCCATCCTTCAATAATGTGACATCAAGCTTGAATGATTCGTTAAATTCAATCCTGCCTTCTGTCGCGCTTGATCCAAGGTTAGGAGTAACAATGCTCGTGGACCCAGAACTACGGTCCCCGTTCTCCCAGTGCAGGACCACGGAACGCAGGGATTTCAGCGATTGGGATGGTGGCCATGGCTTTATTTCTAGTATGTGGATGATGTAATCTACGTGAACCGAAGCGCCTTTCTTGTGCTTCGACCGCAGGCCCAGCACCATGGCTGCAAGACTGGATTTTGATGGTGGGAGGGTGTATTCGGCAAATGCCACCGGAAATGCAGATCAAGAATTGTCCTCTGAGATATCAACATTGAAAGGAGAAGTTATACGATGTTAGAAACTCAAGAATTAAAAGAAACAGTCCTACTTAGCTGATTCAGTAGATCGTGATAGATCCAATTAAACAATAGATTAAGGACTCATTCACACAAGGCATCAATTATTGACCAAGTTTAACACAAAGAAAACCTCATTTTAGTTCACACAGCCACAAAATGAAGAGATCACAAGAATGTGTCCAATTTACCCCCAAAAGAGCAGTGTTTTGAACTATCCCACATCCAAATGGTTCTAACTCCACAAAAATGAGTAAAGGAGAAAAGAAAGAAAGAAAGAAAGGAAGAAAGAAAGAAGAAATCCATCTTTTTCGTGTAACTGTAACGACTAAACTGCTTACTTCGTTGCCGATCCAATTCAACTCTTCACAGCTTACACACCAAATCAATGAGGAGAGGAGAAGACAACTTAGAGAGATACAAGAACAAATTTTGAGGTAAAAGAAAACCGAGAATTCACAAAATGCGACAAAAGCTCTAAAAGAAATCCAAAGGATACAATCTCATTCAAACAATTGTTTACGAAAGCCAAAGAAAGATCAAAGTTTCTACCAAAACATATCCTATTGAAACAACAGAGAGAGTAAAGGTCATCTAGCACTGTGATTTAGAGGCCAGCAAAAAAGCGCAAGCTGGAGATTCTCTAGCCAATCACAAGAAACGCAATGGAGAGACCAAAAAAGATCAGATCTTTCAGCAACCCAAGGCCCCAAAAAATCCTACAGGGAAAGAGAGGAAAGGTCACCTCGCACAGGGACTTAAATCGTCTACGATAGCTGCGGATCGCCGCCAACTCTCAGCATTCCCTCCGAGATATCTCCTCCGCCAATAGGTCGGTGGTCAGAGCACAATGGCGACCAAAGGCCGCCCTCCAAGAGTAAAGAAAGAGACGAGCCAAGAAGAAGAAGAATAGATTTTTCAATAAAAGAAGCTGCCTTTGCAGGAATAGGATATTAATTTAGTCAGAGCGCATTCCATCTGAGGTCACGGTGAGAGAGAGGGGGAAGCGTTTGTGCTCTGGAAGTATTCGCCGACGGCATGAGTGGGAGAGAGATCAGCCGAAAGAGACGACCCGATACCACTACACCCGTCCGATCCCCATCGGACGGTTCAAACTTCCACCATGCGCAAGTGGAAAAGACCGGCGGGCCCACTCCACGGTGGAGTTCCGCGAAAGGAGCCTCTCGTCCGTCGAAACGACGTACCTTAACAACCACCGAGCCACCCCGTGGGCCCGGCGGCATTTGGCCAATCGGAGAACGGGTGATGGAGGGGTAACGACATGCCGCTGCTGCTAATTGGGTTGGTGGGTTTCGGAACGTTGGAAGGAGTCCACGGTGTCGGCTGTCCATTGTGGCTGGTGGTCCATTTTGTTGTCACCACAAATATTTCTAATTAATTGAATTTATTTATGGAATATTTTTTTTAATTTAGTTAGTATTGCTCATAAAATTATTTGTCCTTAAGATTTGATCTTAAAATTTTATATATCAATTAAGTCACTCGATACCTTTGACTTTCTATCAAGCAAATGGATGTTCAAAAAATTATTGTTTCCCATAAATATTTATTGTATTTTAAAAATAGTTAATTTGATAATTTTTTTAATAATTTTAAAAATTATATCTTAATTATTATATTAAAAAATTATATATGTGAACATGAGATCCACTAAGTAATAAAATTAATTTTTTTTTTATCTTTTGTAAACATAAATGGAGAGTTTACTCTAACACTGAAAGAGATAAAATTAGTTGATAGGGTAATTGCAGGTGTAACATTATTTTAGAATCATTATGATGGACCTTTCAAGGTAGATGGTGAGAGGTGAGTGTTCATTGTCCTGAGCCTAACCCAATGATGGTGTCTCACCATTTCTCCATTGGCTATGTTAATTGATGGCCCCTCCTCAATGATCACCACAGGACCATGCCTTTGTCTTCTCATTGGATTGTACATCACTGTAATGTTCTAAGCAACAAAATAAACAAATGGTCATGCAAATAACACCATGAGGTGAGCAACAACAAGCACAACATGAGGCAGATGAAATGTTAGTGTCTTCAAGGGGCTGGTGGCACTTCCATGTCCTCTGTGGATGGATGTAAGCAGAATAATATATTTTTTGGTATTGCTGATAACTCATTACAAAAAGACTATAAATTTCAATATTTTAAACATTGATAGGCCTATGATGTATAAAATATGGATGTCCCATTAGATAAATTTTATTAGATTCATTTATGAATATATTTTTATTATACACATATATTTATTATTATTATTATTATTATTTGTGGGTCCTCTATGCCAAGCATCATTATTTCCAGACAAACTAAAGCATTTGCTTTAGTGATGCCCTCCATGATGTACTTACTTTGATGTGATGAGCTGGAAACAAGTATTGTTTCTCCCATTTTGTTTCCAATAAGATCAGTGCCATGAATCATCAACATCTCTCCTTTGTTATAAGAATTAGATTATGGATTATGAGTAATGTGATGATCAACAACCCTAAATTTTTTACCCAATAAATGGTTATCCTTGTGGAAATCATAATTTGTGATAGAAGTTAGAGGATGAGACCACAGATTATTCATAATATATTTTTATCCTTAATCCTTTTACTGTAAGAGTATTGCCTCTCTAACTCATATGTATACATATATATATTTCTCTACAAATTTAGATGATAGATGCCAGTTTTAACTACTACTAATTATGCTTTTTATTACTTTAGTCAATTATTTGATATTTGATCTCTTTTAATTTTTTGAAGGCTTATAAATCTCTCTCTCTCTCTCTCTCTCTCTCTCTCTCTATATATATATATATATATATATATACACACACACATAGAGAGAGAGAGAGAGAGAGGGAGAGAGAGATGATAGTTTGCCTTCTTGGTATGAACCTGGTCTCATTAATAGAGCAAAACATTATGGTGGGTGTGGTAACAAGATATAATGATAGTGGTGTTAAAAAGATGGATGTAGAAATACAAATATGAATGGCCAAATCAAGGAAGTTGTTCTTCAGATCCAAGTTTCAAACATAATATTAATTTAGTATCACACATTCAATGATTCATACAACTTAGGGACAAAATTTCTAATCAAATGTGCATTAGATATTGACTTTAATCAACAAACCTGACTCTTTCAGCATTCCATACAAGTATGTATGGTTGGTGGTGGTGAGAGACAAGTGAGTTGTCTCTATCTCAGATTAAACTTGAATCACAATATAAAATTAACTCCTATTCAAAACCTTATTTTCTTCCCTTTCTCTAATTCTCACTCCAACTCCTTAGTCTTTGTCATCCTAATCAACCCACCAACTCCAATCCCATTATTAAAATTAGAGTAATTCTCTTTTGGAGACAGAAATGGAATTCTTATTTGCATATGAACATCGATATCGAAATTAATATATTATATCCACTTAGTAATGGTTGAGAGTTTATAATCTTAGTATAGTAGACTCATCTACTGACAAATTGATCAACTAATTCTGCATGATAGAAATTTATTTTTTAGAGAAAATTATAGGAAAAAAAAAATCCTTTCCTTTTGGCTTGCTATCATAGAAAGCTATTGTTTTTATCATTTAAGGGATTAACAAATTAAGTGATCAGTTCACTTTTTCATTTTTTTCCTCTTAAATCAATTCAATAAGCAATAAGATTAGATCATTATGTGATAAAAATAAAGGATGATTTTCCTGAGAAAGTCCCTTCTTTTTTTTTTCCCTCGAAAAGATTTCATATATTTTTTTATTTTCTCAAATGATGTCTTCTATTTTGAATAATGTTAAAAATATCTTTCACCACCAATATATTTTTCTCGTAAATTTTGAACCAAATGAATGTTGCAATGTTGTGGCTTATTATATGATTTTAGACATCATAATAAAAATATAAATTGACTCATAACCTCAATCAAACTAAATTTAAGTCTAAAAATTTAATATCATAATGATCTAGTGCTTTAGTCATCAAAATAAAAATACCATAAGATGTTCTTAGATCCAAATGAACTCTTAGTCTCAACCAAATTAACTAGAAGCATAAAAATATGATACCGTAATATCTTAATAAACACTAAAGAGTATTTTTAATATCTTAATAAAAAGCACTATAGATGAACAAAAATGAAATCACCATAATATTATGTCACTTATAGTATTTTTTAATATCTTTATAGTGTTTTCTAGTATTTTAATAAAAAATACTATAGACAAGTAAAATAAAAACACTATAATAGTTTATCCACTTGGACCAATGCACCTTATGGACCAATCCATAAGATGTCCCCAAAATTAAAAGGAAAAAAACATTGAGACTAGTGAGAGATATTTTTAGTATTATTTAAAATATGAGTATAGTTTGGAAAAAATAAAAAACAGGGGTACTTTTGGAAAAATAAAAAATAAAAAAGAAGGTTTTTCAGTAAAATCGTTCAAAAATAAAAATAGAAAAAAAAACCCCTCTTAAAATAAATTGCACAATCAACACTAAACCATTCCACACTTGTCATTTGTACCCCGAGAGTACCTGTTTTGTCATTGGGACGACAGCGGGTCCCGCAAGCGGAAGGCATCGAAGCATCCCTTACGTCATCTGCAAAGTATGACGTGTCGAGATTCTGAAGCGCTCGTTCTGCGTCCGTCCCTAAACCGTCGTGAGTGTGTCCTCGAACTGATCTCTGTGGCGTTGAGTTCGATCGATTCTGCTACCCTCTTCGCTTCGGAGGAGGAGATTGGTGGAGGAAAGAAGATGGGGAGCGGCGGCCAAGTGGATCTCGAGGACGTGCCGTCGCTGGATCTCTTGACGGAGGTCCTCCACCGCTTGAAGTGCGCCTCCAAGCCCGACAAGCACCTCATTCTCATAGGTTCTACATCTCTCCGGCAATCGCTCGTTGGATTTCTCCATTATGCAGTTCCTTTCCTTTTGGCGTCAGAATTTAGCATCGTTCCTGTTGGTTGCAATGTAGGATGAAAGATTGTTTAGTCAAGTATTTTGCTGGTAGTTAGGGTTTGATGCGCCTATTGTTTCGGTAATTTGCTGTCTAATGTTGCGTATTCAAGAAAAGCGGCTTCGGAAAATTATTTCTCGACACATTGTCTCGGAAATTTGAATCTGGTTCTTACATTGATGTCACGTAGCATCAATATTTTGAATCTTGTGCGAGATAATTAGGGTAAGTTCTTGAAATTGGTGACGTGAATATGATGATCATAAGGAAGCACACTTTTGAGACCGTACATTACAAGAAATAAACTTTTGGTTTCCTCAAACAGAAGACAAGAAAACGGTGATGAACTTCTAAGTCTTGTCAGGGCCACCGAGGTCTGGGAAGGGCACTCGGTCACGTATTATAAAGGATGAATATTGCTTGTGTCATTTGGCAACTGGTGATATGTTGCGAGCTGCTGTTGCAGCCAAAACCCCTCTTGGAATTAAAATTAAATAGGCATTGGTTAAGGTATTGCTTGATGATAGGTAATATCTTGGCGACTAAACCAGCCCGACAGTTGGCCACCACCAAGGCACCGACGTGGAAGGTAAAGGTTGAGTCACCTCCCTACTCGGCAGCAACATGGGAGAGGTAATGGCCTGTCTGTCACGGACAAACTTTGAAACAGGGTGTTTGATGTAATGCTTATGTATGTCCGTGTCTTTTGGCATGTTCATTCCTTGTACAGAATGTAAAGGGGCGGCCGAAGGCTTAATAGTCCCATTTTAGTTGGGTTGGTGGCCTCTTTAGGCTTGTAAATAAAGGTTGTGTCATGTGGACACGTGCGAGAGCTTTCGGTCTGTAATGGACCATTTTACCCTTTGTTGTGCCATTGTTCAGAGCTTGTAAAGTCTGTTTGTAATTTGCATTGTCTATGAAGTGTTTTTCGGAGATGTTTGCTTGTGGATCCCGATTGAGGCGTTCTCTCTTGCCCGTTCTCTCTTTTGTTGGTCCTAAGGGACGATGGGAGTCT